GCGCTGTGCTATGCTATGCTATGCTATGATATGATATTCTAAGCTATGCTATGCTATGTCATGCTGCGCTGTGCTATGCTAAGCTATGCTAAACTAAGCTATTTTATGCTCTGCTCTGCGATGCTATGCTATGCTATGCTATTCTGCGCTATGCTATGTTATGCTAACCCCATGCCCACGATAATAATGTACCCCCCCTTAAGTCGTTAGAGTTTTTTTATCGTCGACCAATAAGAGTTTGGTCGGGGGCGCGGGGCGCGGAGGCCAAACTTCACTATCACCTCGGAACGTTATGTTGAGATAGCAAGATCAAGTTATGTTGAAATCGCAACATCAAGCGAAGCGATCACACTTTTTTCAGGATGTCTCAAGCGAAACCAAGAATTTTGGGAGGCAGGCTCAAACGAAACGAGCAATGTTTCAAGGATGTCTCAAGCGAAACCAGTAATTCTGTGAGGATGTCTCAAGCGATTCGAGAAGCTTGTCGAGGATGTCTCAAGCGAAACAAGCATATACTCGAGGATGTCTCGAGCGATTCGAGAAGCTTGTCGAGGATGTCTCAAGCGAAACAAGCATATACTCGAGGATGTCTCAAGCGAAACAAGCATATACTGAAGGATGTCTCAAGCGAAACGATACGTTTCTTAAGGATGTCTCAAGCGAAAACAACAATTCTGTGAGGATGTCTCAAGCGAAACCAAGAATTTTGGGAGGCAGGCTCAAACGAAACGAGCAATGTTTCAAGGATGTCTCAAGCGAAACCAGCAATTCTGCGAGGATGTCTCAAGCGATTCGAGAAGCTTGTCGAGGATGTCTCAAGCGAAACAAGCATATACTCGAGGATTGCTCTTTTTCTTCCTCTTCTCTTCTCTTTCTTTTTCCTTAATTTATATTTTTATGTCTTTATATATTTCTTTATTTCTTCTTTTTTTTCCTCTCTCTCCCCATGCCCCCCCCTGAACTTGTTTATCCCTGGTGTTGACTATCCATGGCAAGTGAGGCACATGAGCTACCCTACACGAGCACTCGAAAAAAACAATTTTCAGAAAGCGTTTGTAAATTAAATCTAATAGATTTGGAACTTGATTTTTTTTGCTCTTTTTCTTCCTCTTCTCTTCTCCTTCTTTTTTCATAATTTATATTTTTATTTCTTTATATATTTCTTTATTTCTTTCTTTTTTTCCTCTCTCTCCCCATGCCCCCCTGAACTTGTTTATCCCTGGGGTTGATTATCCACGGAAAGTGAGGCACATGAGCTACCCTACACGAGCACCCGAAAACATCAATTTTCATAAAGCGCTTGTAAATAAAAAAAAATCAATACATTTGAATCTTCAGATTTTTTGTTTTATCCTCCTTTCCTCTCCTCTTCTACTTCTCCTCCTCATTTCTTCTTGTCCTTTTCCTTTTAAATATTTCTTTTATGTATTTCCCTCAACTCTCTCTTTGTTTTCTTTATTTCTCTCTTTATATCTTTCTCTCTCCCCATGCGCCCCTGAACTTGTTTATCCCTGGGGTTGATTATCCACGGAAAGTGAGGCACATGAGCTCCTACACGAGCACTTAAAAAACGATTGTCATAAAGCGCTTGTAAATAAACTATAATAGATTTGGAACTTGATTTTTTTTTCCTTTTCCTCTTCCTCTCCTCTTCTACTTCTCCTCTTGAATTTTTCTTCTCCTCTTCATTTTCATTATTTCTTCTCTCTCTCTCTCTTTCTATCTCTCTGTCTCTCTCCCCCCCATGCCCCCCTGAACTTGTTTATCCCTGGGGTTGATTATCCATGGAAAATCTGATAGGTTTTTTATTATTATTTCCTCTCTGTCTTTTTTCTCTCTCTGTTTCTCTATCTCTCTCTCCTCTTGCTCCTCTCCTGTCTTCTCCTTTCCTCTCCTCCTCTCCTTCCTCTCTTGCTTTTCATTATCTCCTCTTCTTCTCTCTCTCTCTCTCTCTCTCTCTTTCTCAATTTCATCAAGCGTTTCTAAATAAAATCTGATGGATTTGAAACTTGAAATGTTTGCTTTTCCTCCTCCTTCTCTATCTGTCTTTCTTTCTATATATATTCTCTTATTCTTATTATTCTTCTTATTATTATTCTTCTTTATTATAAGAGTTTTTTCTGCGAATGTGTTATATCTTTCTTATTTAAAAGACTATATTTCTTTTTATTTTCGTTTTTTTCCTTCTCTCTCTCTCTCTCTCAGCACAACCCCCCAGCACAACCCTCCAGCACAACCCTCCAGCACAACCCTCCAGCACAACCCTCCAGCACAACCCTCCAGCACAACCCTCCAGCACAACCCTCCAGCACAACCCTCCAGCACAACCCTGCAGCACAACCCCTCAGCACAACCTCTTGAGGTTTATTATCGTCGGCAGTTTTTTATCATCGGCAGTGGTCGATAGCAACTCCTGAGCTCTCCGGGAACACGGCGGCACGCAAATGATACGCATGTTTTTGAAAAACTTCATTTTGAAAAAAATATATTTTATTTAATT